TTTGGATAAAAACATCCAGACAAGGGTTCAAATTTTCTCGAATAATTCCTCCAGAAGACATCCACTTTGTGCTAAGAAGTCAACCTTTAATCCAAAATACTTAGTTTCAGACGAATCGATGTTATTCTTTTGGATACTTCCGATACTAGCGACTGGGAATGGATAGCTAGAGGTTTTCCCTGTTTGGATACGGTTATGGATCGATTTGATTTCGATAACCTTAATGATCAAAAACACGATAAATTACCTTCAACCCACATACAACCAATGAATAAATAGAAATTTGAGTTTTTCGATGACAACTCAAACGATCCTACAACACCAGAATGCCCAATTAGCATCATACCAGACGATTCACCACCGGCAACCAAAGTGGATACCTTGAGTAGCCTTAAGCCTCAGATTACTCCGCCGGATAGGACAATTTTCATGAAGTTAGAACAACCTCTAGTAAAATTTCTCATTAACGAGATAGTCGACTGTTCAGAAGAGGCTCCCTCTAATCAACAGACATCTCCTTCTTCCGGTACCGAACCCCATTTATGTCAGTCTATCTTACCGAATTTCGGGCCAGCCGAAATTCTACGGTAAAAAATACCTCATATATGTTATAGATCAATTTGACGAAACAACAGGATCAGCCTCTAGCCCGATTGTCTTGGACAACATCAGCTACAACGAGCCACCACCATTACTGTTACATGAAACTCCTTCGGATGATTTGACAATACTTTCGGACACAAATCTTTCTTGCATTCTCCCTCCTTCTTCTACAGACGAATCACTAAGAATGGCCATTGACAGTCATGATGAGAACGCCGACTTAGATAGTGAACTGTTTATTGCGCAGTTAGAAAATTTTATCAACACTAACAAAAACCAAAAAGTGACACTTACTTTTTGCATCCCTTGGTGCTTTGTCATTAAGTTACTTATTCCTATCAAGGCCGTATTTATCGTTAACTTCTCATATCACCTTATTGTGGGCAGTAAATTTCTAATTTTTAAACGTTCATCATTCCTTCGGATAAAAAACCTTCATTCAACTTACCGCTTAGATATACATAAATTTGGCCAAAATATCTACCTTTTAAGCGCTTACTTTCATTTACATAATACAACCCTCGTTACTTAATTTCCTCTAACTTCAGCGTGGAGTTAATTTGCTTCACTGCGCTATTTTTTTTGCCTAGTTAACCTTCTATAAACCTTAGTGCATAACTACTGTGCTTTATTTCCTTTTTCCGCTTCTCGAAGGGTAGAAAAGGAGCAGTTATTTAATTTTATCAATTCGCAATTCAAAATTTTTCCTATTTTGAGGAATGAGGTGATTCCACTTTTTCATTTAGTGTAATTAGTTCATGCTTAGTCTAATTGATTTGACCGGTCATTCATGCTTGGCGTTGACAGTCTTGTTCTCTCCAGTGGAGAGAATGTTTTCTCACGTTTTTAAATGTTTTAACTTTCAATTTAATTCACTTTTATCCTTTTATTCTTTTCATTGTAAAAAGTAGAGTTAGCTGTAAAAGAAACATTTTATCAGCTCGAAAGTTGAAAAATCTCCAATACTTTCTTTGTACTTAATTTTGAAAAGCTGTTAGATATCTTCTAAAGTTTTTTTGCACTAATTCTAGATTATTTTAAAAACATGTAACTAATGAAATTTACTTCAAGAATTGATTACTTCAAATACTTCATACGTCATGTAAAATTTTGACGCCTTGAGTCCAGTATTTAAAAGATATATAAATCTCTTCAACGATCATTTTAGAGATCCTAGGGTTTAAAATTCACGATTTCTTTCAAGTTTTTTTGTTTTTTTTATTGGTTAAATTGTGGATTTTACCTTTCAGAACTCCCAGCTGAGAAGAAATTGTCCACAGTTTCATTGTTCTCAAATTGGGTGCTTTTTTTTGAAAAAAAAAAAGAGTCATAATATAAGAATCTACACACTCAATAGGCGTTAAGACCATTTTTGAAACTCAAAAGTTGGAAATTTGAAAGTTTTTTATAAAACACTTTATGGTGGAATGTGTAAAAAAAATTATATTTTTGAAGATAGCTTGTGAGTTAGGACTGGAGTGTATAACTCATAGAGTAATTTCGGATAGGGTACACCGTCTGCTCGTCACGCTATCTTATTTTCGGCCGGATAGATTCGTGCAACTTCTTAGTCTAATACCGATCCTAATCTTACTCTTATACTATCTAGTCTCAGGTTGTTTAACTAGTCTCTGCTAGGCTCAATAGATCTAGGGTATACTGGTTTATTGCGGCTGCTGAAGTGCTCGGGAGAGTCCAACTAATTTCTAAGTTAAATTCAAATCTCTCTGGTGCTGAAATTACAAGTAACTTCAGCACTTACAGATAAGTGGGTTGTTAGTTAGATGGGTCATGATTGGTTAATATTAAATACTTTACATTGGTAAAATATCTAATTTATCCAATCATAAAATGTAGTTTAGATCAGGTTCCACCCATCCGGGTTTTACAGAGTTTTTTAGAATAGTTCTTCTGCAATTCGAAGGATGGATGATGGACGTTGGTTTTTTGGCGAACATCATAATTTTCTTCCGTTTCTTCTTTGTTAAAGAAGTTCCAGGAAGCTGGAGTTATAAGACGTTGTGTCTTCTAGTGACAACGACTAAGTCTTCGCAACAAACTCAAATCTGATTTCAGAATGGTTGGCTATGTCAGGTTTTTCTGTTCTGCGTGGAGAACTTCTTTTGTGTCTGATCTAGTTTGGGAATGGCGTGGAGATTGTGCGTGGAGGGGATGCCTGGTTACTCGGATCTGTACGTATACTTGAACATCGAGGTGGTCATTGGTCTAGTTCAATGAAGTCCTTTTCTGCGAAGTCAAGTCGTACTCTAAATCCTTTGAGTTGTGATTGTGAGTGGCATATCGATTGTGGTTGGCCATTCTCTCTCGAGTGTAGTAGGGTTGTTTTGTCTTTAGATGTTCGTCCTTGGTGTTGTATTCTGATCTATGTATTGCATAATGTAATTTACATTTTATAAAACATTTATTAGTTTAATATTTTTTAATTATGATTTCAGTTAGTTGTTTTCACAAAAGCTTTTTGTTTTAGTTCGGTTATTTTGAAGAGTTACTCACCCTTGAGTAGCTCTTATTAAAAATAGAGGTGTGGTCACAAAGCGTGGATGTAGCGCGGTGGGTTAGGCCGGCTATAGAGCATGCTCAGGACGTCCTTCCTGGTGGGTTAGGCCAGGAGTGGGAGTATGATTTCATGCGGTTTTTGTGAGGGGTCCTGTTATGTGACAACGTTTTATGTTGGGTTTGTTGTGGTTTTTCTTATGTCTTGTTGGTTATGTCCTTTTTCCAAAAAGCAAATTGTTCGTGGTATGGGTTTGTCTTTCGATTTTTTTGTGTTTTATTATTTCTTTGTTAGACTTTATAATAGTCTTCAAAAGAATAAATTATCCAGTTTTAAACTGGGTTAATCCGGTTTGGGTACCGTTGGTTTCCTTTTCTTAGTCATGCTGTTATTCTATGATTTGTGGTATTTAGTAAGCTGCGTTGGTTAGTTTTGTTTAGTATATGATTCCTTTCCAACCGGGTTAAAGGAAAGTTTGAAACATGTTATTATATGTTAGAGTTGTTGAGTGTGAAAAGTTGAAACTGAAATTCATTATTTTAAACAATTCTTCGTGGGCGAGCTGTGCGAGTGTGGATAGAATTTCTGTGCGAATGAATGAAAATATCAAAAGGTTAGTACTGCATTTGCATTTTATTAATTTACTGCATAGAATTTGGAAATTTACTGCTAGTTATGGGGGAATTTTAAGTTACAAATTTTCATCATAATTAGATTTACTGCTTGTGGGGAAAATTTTAGAAATGAATTTACTGCATTGGTATTAAATTTATAAATTTATAAGTGTAAGAGATTAATAGAATTTTTGAAATCTGTTTGATGAAATTTGCGATTTTTATTTGTCTTTTGTGGTTTTTGTAGGTGATTGTCGGATGAAGGCTAAAAATCTAAAGAAAACATGGATAAAGTATGGTGAGTTTTTTAATATTTTAATTAGTTAGTAATATTCATTTGATTCATACTTACCTGTTAGTCGTCGGGGAAAAAACCGTGGGGGAAGATGTCGTGGATGAGATCGGAAGTTGTTAGTAGTTTAGCTAAGATGCGGATGATATTTTTAGTCTGAAGCAGTGGCCAAAGCAATTGAAGTGCCTTGATAGTGGTTATTTCTTCAGTGCCAACTGCAAACTCATAAGGTGTGTTTTGGATTAGATTATATAATTTGTGATTGAATTTAGTGTTGTGGATGAATTCTAAAATTGGGATTTCTATAGGTTGTACAAACTCGTGCGGGATAAGGAAGGGTCGGGATTCTTCGGCGTTGAAGGTCTTGGTGATGGGACAGAAGATGTACATTTGGGTTATGGGATCATAATTGCGAAGAATACCATGAAGGTTAGTATCTTTAATGCAATATGTGAAATTTAGGAAAAATGGTGAAGTGTATTTGGAATTAATGAATTGAAAACGATGGTGTGGTTGTCTAGAGGGTGTGTGTTGGTCAAAGTGATTTTGGATGAAGCGATAATAACTATATGTGTGGGTTTGTTTAGTGCGCAACATAATATCGTGTGAGCAGTGTAAATCTCTTTCGTGTGGTGCAAGGAAATGAAAGGTTAGTGAAAATATTTGGAAGCGTTCTTTAAAACTTTCGTATGCTTGTGTGTCTGTTAGTGCTTCTGAAATAATGTGATCAAACTTTCGGTCGAAGATGTTTAGTGTAAATATATATGGTGTCTTGATGAAAAATTTCTCGGTAATTTGTGGATTAGCGAAGCGATCGTCGTCTAAGAATTGATCTTGGTTAGCTCTGATGATGTTGTGATCATAGTATTCGAGTGTATATTCGTTAGCTCTAGGTGCAGTGTGTGTTTTTAGTGATTTTTTATATCCAACGTAAGTAAATTGTCTAGCGGTTAGTGGTGTAGTGAGTCGATATAGCATGTCCGTATTTCGCTCTATATCGATGTGAGTGTTAGATAAAGGTAAGCAAAATATGATGAAGACGAAAGACGTACTTTTAAGAAGACGTATTTTTTAAGAATGCTGAGAATGCTGCGGCCATCTTTTTGACTAAAATTACAAAAATTGAATAGAGTTGTTAAAAACATTTCAAAACTTTTCTAAAATTTTTAAACTTTTCGCCTATATTTTGATATTTGATTCCCAAAACAGCGCTGAAGCATCGGAATTGGTTTATTTTTCAGTAGAAATTTAAATTTTCAGGGTTTGAGTAGAATTTATACGGCGTGTCCTTTATCTATCAAAAGCCTATTTCACGACTGCTTGCTGACATTTTTCGCTCGAAATTAAACTAAAAATCAACTTTTCACCAATCAGTTTTCTTCAGGAAGACGTACAGACAGCTGTCCAGTTTGAGCGTAGCCACGAATAAGTTTGAAAACTACGCCTTCAGACAGACCGAGTCGACGCTCTCCTCTCACTACCAACAACTCACCAGGACAGTCAAGGTAATTTTCAGGGGAGGGGGAGGGGGAGAGGCGGGGTTGAGGGAGGGGGTTTTTCAAAAAACGTTTTTTCAAAAAACTTTTTTTTTTGGAAAAGTTTTTTCAAAAAAAAACAAGTCAGTGTTTTTTTCCTGTATACTTGCGTCCATTGCCTCTTTTCCCTACTGTATGTTGGCTATGTTCTTGAAACTTCCTAAAACAGAGAGTTTCAATAAACAGTTAAACCGCAATAACAAAATACTTATAGGCCTAGTTTTTTCAAGGTTTTTTTATCCGAAAATTGCAAGACAAAACAATTCTTAAAACAAAGCTGTCAATTTTCGGTTTTCTGGATTTTATTGGCCATTTTCAACTGCCTCTTGACTATGATTTTACATTGAGAGGCTGCAATGAAACTTTGCATAACACAGGGCCCAATTTAAATAAAAATCACAATCAATCAACATCTAAAAATTCGCTCAAATATGAAACTAATCAGGTTGCTTATTGAGTTATGACCGAAGTGGTTAACTCATAGAGTAATTTCGGATAGGGTACACCGTCTGCTCGTCACGCTATCTTATTTTCGGCCGGATAGATTCGTGCAACTTCTTAGTCTAATACCGATCCTAATCTTACTCTTATATCTACTAGTCTCAGGGTGTTTAACTAGTCTCTGCCTAGGCTCAATAGATCTAGAGTATACTGGCTTATTGCGATTGCTGAAGTTCTCTTGGAGAGGCAACTAATTTCTAAGTTAAATTCAATTCTCTCTAGTGCTGAAATTACAAGTAATTTCAGCACTTACAAATAAGTGGGTTGTTAGTTAGATGGATTATGATTGGTTAATATTAAATATTTTAAAGTGGTAAAATATCCAATTTATCCAATTATAAAATATAGTTTAGATCAGGTTCCACCCATCCGCGTTTTACAGAGTTTTTTAGAATTATCTTTCTGCAATTCAAAGGATGGATGATGAGCGTTGGTATTTGGCGAACATCATATTCTTGTCCGGTTCCTTTTGTTAAGGAAGTTCCAGGACGCTGGAGTTAGGGACATACAATCGTTGCGTCGTCTTGTGACAACGACTGTGATCCCCAATGAAATCAATCTGATTTCAAAATGATTTGCTATGACGGGTTTTTCTGTATTCTGTAGAGAACTTGTTTTGTGTTCAAGCTCGTCTGGGAATGGCGTGGAGATCGTGTGTGGAAGGGATGCCTCGTAACTCGAATCTGTACGTATACTTGAACATCGAGGTGGTCATTGGTTTAGTTCAATGAAGTCCTTTTCTGCGAAGTCAAGTCGTACTCTAAATCCTTTGAGTTGTGATTGTGGACGGCATATCGGTTGTGATTAGCAATTCTTTGTTCGAGTGTGATGGGATCGTCTAGTCTTTGGATGTTCATCTTTGTTGTTGTGTGTTGATCTATATACTGCAAAGTATGATTTACATTTTATAAAATCATATTAGTTCGGTTTTTAATCATGAATTTAGTTACTTGTTTTCACAAAAGCGTTTTGTTTTAGTTCGGTTATTTTGAAGAGTTACTCACCCTTGAGTACCTCTTATTAAACATAGAAGTGTGGTCACAAAGCGTGGATGTAGCGCGGTGGGTTAGGCCGGCTATAGAGCATGCTCAGGACGTCCTCTCTGGTGGGTTAGGCCAGGAGTGGGAGTATGATTTCGTGCTGTTTCTTTGAGAGGTCCTGTTATGTGATAACGTTTTAAGTTGGGTTTATGTTGTTCTTTTTTATGTTGATTTGGTTGTGTCCTTTTTCAAAAATCAATTTTTTTTTGGTATGAGTTTGTCTTGCGACTTTTTTTTTGTTTTATTAATTCTTTCTTAAACTTTATAATAGTCTTCAAAAGAATAAATTATCCAGTTTTAAACTGGGTTAATCCGGTTTGGGTACCGTTGGTTTTCTTTTCTTAGTCATGCTATTATTTTATGATTTGTGGTGTTTAGTAAGCTGCGTTGGTTAGTTTGGTTTAGTATATAGTTCCTTTCCAACCGGGTTAAAGGAAAGTTTGAAACTTGTTATCGTGTGTTAGAGTTGTTGAGTGTGAAAACTTGAAACTTAAAATCATTATTTAAACAACTCTTCGTGGGCGAGCTGTGCGAGTTTGGATAGAATTCCTGTGCGATTGAATGAAAATATCAAAAGGTTAGTACTGCATTTTAATTTTATTAATTTATTACATAGAATTGTAATTTTACTGCATTTGGGGGAAATTTTAAGTTACAAATTTTCATCGTATTGAGTTTTACTGCTTCATGGGAAAATAATTTATAGATTAATTTACTAATTTTGGTATGAATTTTATCACATTAGTTAGTGCAAGATGTTAATATATTTTAGAAGAATTTTAACAAGTTTGTATTTTTATTTTTCTTTTCTGTTTTGTAGATGATCGTGGTGTGAAGACTAAAAATATAAATCAAACATTGATAGAAAATGGTTAGTACTAATTTTAAACTTATTAGTGAAGAGTATTTTAAATTATACTTACCTGTTAATCGTCTGGGAAAAAGCCGTGGGGGAACATGTCGTGTATCATATCTGATGTCGTTAGTAATTTGGCTAGTATGCGAATGATGTTTTTAGTTTGGAGCAGTGGCCAAAGCAATTGAAGTGCTTTAATGATTTTTATTTCTTCAGTGCCTACTGCAAACTCGTATTGTGTTTTGAATGAGGTTATATATTTTGTGATTATATTTAGTATTGTGAATGAATTCTAAGATTGGTATTTCTATAGGCTGGATAAATTCATGCGGGATAAAGAAGGGTCTGGATTTTTCTGCGTTAAAGGTCTTCGTGATGGGACAAAATATATACATTTGTGTTATTGGGTCATAATTGCGGAGGATGCCGTGGAGATTAGTATCTTTGATGCAATAAGTGAAATTAAGGAAAAATGATGATGTGTATTTTGAGTTAAGAAACTGAAAACGATGGTGTGGTTGTCTTGATGGGGTATGCAAATCAAAATGATTTTGTATGAAACGATAGTATGTATATGTGTGAGTTTGTTTAGTGCGTAACATAAAATCGTGGAAACAGTGCAAATTGCGTTCATGTGGTGCAAGGAAGTGAAAGGTTAGTGAAAATAACTGAAATTTGTCTGTGAAACTTTCGTAAGCTTGAATATCATTTAGTGCTTCAGAAATGATGTGATCATATTTTCTATCAAAAATATTAAGTGTGAATACATATGATGTTTTGATGAAGAATTTTTCTGTTAGTTGTGGGTTAGCGAAGCAATCTTCATCTAAAAATTGGTCTTGATTACTTCGGATGATATTATGGTCGTAATATTCTATTGTAAATTCGTTAGCTCGGGGTGCAGTGAATGTTTTAAGTAATTTTTTATATGCTACATAAGTAAATTGTCTAGGTGTTATTGTTGCGGTGAGTCTATATAACATCTTTTTGTTCTTTTCTATGTCATCATGAGTACTAGATAGTGGTAGGCAAAGGGGGTTAGTAAAATGATAATAAGCTGTCCAATGAAGTGTGGGCATGAGAACATGTTCATCTACGAAACTTCGTGTGTCATTAGTGTCGTTAGGTGTATTTAATGTATATTGTGGAAATGAAGGTAAGGTGATTGCTAGAAAATCTTTCGTGTTGGTGTGTTGTGGGTGATTAATATATTCGCAGGCTGTTCCTGGTTTGGTCGGGAATGGATGATTCGGGAATTTTCTTTTAAAAGTGCGATAAGCTCGGTTAGTGCTACTAGGTGTTTCGGTGGATGTGGATGATTGTGCTAATGATGCAGTGTAAGCTGAGGAGGTTGTAGGAGTAGATGGGTTTGAGGATTCTACTGTGGATGAAAATTGATGTATTGTGAGGGTGTTAGGGTGTATTAACTGTTGTTGTAGGGTGTTAAAATTATCGAGTTTCTGGGAAATTTGGGGGGTATCTGGAGAATTATTATATGATTGGTCTGAATGAAGTGGGGAATAGGTTGGGGTCCCTTGCGAAGCATAAGAAGGAGTGAAAACGGATGGGAGTGAATTAATTGTCGGGATTGGTTGAAAAGGGGGTTTTGAAAAAACTGAGGAGTTGGTCTGAAAATTATTTGATGGAGATGGTTCGGAATCTGCAAATTCGTCAGGGGTTTCTGTATTAGGGTTATTAAGTTGTGAGATAGAGTATAAAACTGAAGAATCTGAGTTAGTATCCGAATTTGTGCTTAATGATATATTAATAATTGGAAAATTGGGTGGTGGAAAGCAAAAAGTGGGATTATTGGGATTGGAGTTTGGAGGTTGGCTGGGTGGGAATTTGAGCGGTGTAGGGATCCAAGTTGTCGGCTCATCGTGGGCTTAAAAAAATGATTATTTTGAGACTGAAAAGTGGTGGTATGGGCTTTTTCTGTAAATTGCTCGTATGTATTATCATCTTGTGAATGATGTGTCATTATGTGTTGGATGGGACTTTGTGTTGTATTTGGTCTAAAATTTGGATTATGTGTGATTGCGAGGTTTCGAAAATTCCGTGGAACTAATGATAATGGATGGTTTTGTGGTAGGAATGGCAACTGTGGTGCGGTAGGTGTTATATCTATATTATTATGTTCTTCGTCGTAAGTGTTCTGTCTTGTGGATATTTTCGTGTTATATTCTTTTATTTGTGCGTCTAGAAGTATTTTGTTTATTGATGATGAAAAGATTCCAAAAAATCCTGCAAACAGTATGCGTGCTACACTTCCTTGTCTATTTACTTGTGTGTGTATAGCGCATGTGTTATAGATTCCTTTTAAGAGTGAGAAAAGAAATCCTATAAAGTTAAACATTGCGTATAAGATAGTTAATTTTTCTAAGATGTAATAGGGCCATCCTAGAAAATCTAGAATTTCATTTTTAAGGGTGACAAAACTGAAAATATTTATAGGTGAAATATCTTGTGGTCTGTATTTTTCACCGTTTAGATATATATAATCTTTAATGTCTTTAAAATATCCGCTATAATCTTGTGTATCAATAACTGCAAATCCTGCGGTTTCGGCAAGT